TCCCCCCCCCCCCCACTTTAGCTGGAAGTCCTGTGAAAAGTAGCATGGATTCTAACTGAATAGCTTAATGGATTTGGGAATAATCCCTTGTCTTCCAGATGAACAATGCATGGGAAAACCTAAACAAGACCTGGAAGGAGAGGCTAGAGAAGCTGGAGGAGGCCATGCAGTCTGCTGTGCAATACCAGGATAATCTGCAGGTAAGAGGCACATCTTTAGGTAGTGCTGAGAAGGCCCCAGGCTTGGGCCAGCCTCTCATTTTGCTAGGTGCTGTACAAAAAGATGATCTTGCCCCCAAAGAGCTTCCAATGTATGTCCAACCCTGCACGCAATGACTAGCTGAAAGGAATAGAAATACATGGTTTCAGCATTTCTGCCACTGCTTTGTCTGCAGCAGAGACTTGGCCGGCATCCACCCTCCTAAAGGGTTACACACTTCCGAAGAGAAAACAGCACAATGTACGTGAGCCCAGGCAGTGTCTTCTGTTGGGTGGGAAGGATGAAATGAGCTCGCTGAGCAGTGCAGTGGCCGAGTATATGCATTGTCAGCCTTTTTACTCCGAGAAAGAAGTTTGTTGTTTGTCGCCCACCCTGTTCTTCTGGCAGCATGTGGAGCTCTGCTTTTCCCTGCACTGATGCTGATATAGGTTTGGTTTTTCCTCATTTCAGGCAATGTTTGACTGGCTGGATAATGCCGTGATTAAGCTGTGCAACATGCCTCCTGTTGGCACCGACCTCAACACCGTGAAGGAGCAGATGAACGAGATGAAGGTACGCCTGCAGTAAGACCCCATTCTCCATTGCTGCTCTCAGGTGGCAAAGCTCAGCTTCCAGCAGCTGGGTATTTATTTCCCCCCTTCTCTTTGACAGGAGTTTAAATTGGAGGTTTACCAGCAGCAGATTGAGATGGAGAAGCTTAATCACCAGGGTGAACTGATGCTAAAAAAAGCGACGGATGAGACAGACCGAGACATCATAAAGGAGCCTCTGACAGAGCTGAAACATCTCTGGGAGAACTTGGGCGAAAAGATTGCCCACAGACAGGTAAGGTGAAGGGGGGGGCTCCCAAATACTTGAGGGCTGAAGTTGGCTGGTATAGCCTCCTCCTCTGCCACCATCTTGATTGGCATTCTCGTTGCTATCTTGGAACAGCACAAGTTAGAGGCGGCTTTGCTAGCGCTTGGTCAGTTCCAGCATGCCTTAGCAGAGCTCATGGCCTGGCTGACCCACACCGAAGAGCTGTTAGATGCACAGAGACCGATCAATGGTGACCCAAAAGTCATTGAAGTGGAGCTTGCAAAACACCATGTAAGTACGTCCTTCTGTTCTTGTAGGAACCGTGTAAGTACTTCCTTCTGTCTCACCAGACAGTGAAGGATGGGAGCTGACTTAGGTTCTTGGCTGAGTGCTGGACCTAACAGAACAACTGAATGCCTAACGTTGCCCCCAAATGCCTTGAATAGGTGCTGAAGAATGATGTGCTGGCCCACCAGGCAACGGTAGAGACGGTGAACAAAGCCGGCAATGAGCTGCTGGAATCCAGTGCAGGGGATGATGCGAGCGCCCTGAGGAACCGCCTGGAGAAACTGAACTCGTGCTGGGAGTCGGTGCTGCAGAAAACAGAGGAGAGGGAGCAGCAGCTGCAGTCCACGCTTCAGCAGGTGCGCCGTGTTCTGGAGACAGAAACCTTCAAGCTTGTGGCGTAGAGGGTCTGCTTCTGCTTGGGGTCTCTGTTTCCAGAGTAAAGAGCAGATGTGAGAGAGAGACCTTGTTTTCAAGACTGGTAGTTGCGTATGTGTGCGCACACACATTTAAAATGGGTATAAACGCCATTCGTGAACTGTCCTGACGTAATAATGCAGTGAGTTGCAAGCACATCAGGGTTTAAACCTGCCAAATGCCAAGGTCCCAAATTGGGAAGTTATAATGGTAGCATGGCTTAGCTTACCTCATCTCAACACCTTGAAGTGCCTTGTCTTTGTTGCGTGTTACCTCCAAACTGTCCCTGCGCATTAGTTACCCGAGGTAAAAAATGCTCCTTTGTTAGCAGGAAGGCAAGGCTACATAGTGACACTCGTCTTAAAAAGATGAATTACTTTCTCTTTCCAAGCCAAAGGTACAGTTTTGTGGGGAAGCTCCGTCTAGGAGCAGCCGTCTGTCTTTGGAAAATCAACTGTGTTCGTGAATTTGCTGAGATGATTGTATTGTTACGAAGACAAGGCACGCGCCCTCATTTTTTTTAGTATCTTAATGAATTCTTCTCTGCCTCTTCATCCAGGTTAAAAGCCTGATCAATGGCTGAGGGTGTCATCTGATCCATTTCTGATTGTGTTCTCTAACAGGCCCAGGGTTTCCATGGTGAGATTGAAGACTTCCTCCTGTGGCTAACAAGAATGGAAAGCCAGCTGTCTGCATCAAGGCCCACAGGAGGCCTGCCTGAAACTGCCCGTGAACAACTCAATGCCCACATGGTAACGTCTCAGTAAAGATTTTAAATGTCCCTGATTCACAAAGGTTAATGTTATGTCCTTGTTAGGTGGTGTTGCCTGATGGGGAGTGGGACAAGCCTTTCTTTCATCTTTCATTCCTTCCAAGGTCACAGAGTAGCCCCGAGTTTGCAGATGGAGGCTGGTATCTCAGTGATGAATGTGTGTCTTTCGGAAGCATTGTGATAATTGCATCAGCGTCACTTTGCTGTCTGTCCTAATTTTTCTGTGATCCTGGGTTCCAGTCAACTTTAATTCCCCTGACACGGTATCTCTGCTGATTTTGGGGTAGGAGCTGTATGCCCAGCTGAAAGCCAAGGAAGAGGTGTACACTCAGCTGTTGGCCAAGGGGCGACTGATCTTGCTGAATCGTGATGACTCTGGCTCTGGCTCCAAGACCGAGCAAAGCATAGCGCTGCTGGAACAGAAGTGGTGCTTGGTCAGCACTAAGATGGAGGAGAGGAAGGTAACGGTTTGCAATCAGATGTGCTCCGCTTCCACTATCGAGGAGTTTATTTGCAAGCCAGGCTCCTCACTGCTGAGGAAAGAACGTGGGTCTCTTGCCATAGGCAGAGTCAGCTGTGCGTCAGGGACCTGGGGTTATTTTTTCAATCCAACCCATGAGATCAGTTTGCTCCGCACTTGTATATACTGAGCATTCTTTCCAAATGAGATAATTTGGTGGATGCTTGAAACCAAAGCAACATTTGCATAGACAGTTACAAGAACAGGTTAAATTGGTGTTCCTGCAAATGAAAGTAAAACTAAAGAGGACTGAGGTAGAGACAGGGACAAAGAGGGAGGGAAAGAAATCACTAGGGCAATTAAAAGATATGAGAACATCATCCAGTTCGGAAAGGCAAAGATGTCTTTCTCCTTCTCAAGAGACAGTGAGCCAAACTCCCTGCTGGCCCGACTGCTGTAGCGGCATGTTAATCAGCACTAAAATAAAACGAGAAAGGCTGTGGCCTCTGCACAGGTTCAGTTCCTGGCACTGCAGCTGTCCTTGAAATGTCATCTCCTTTCCACTGCCTGAACCATTGTTCACACAGAGATCTGTTTCCCAGGAAGCCCTAGCGGTGACACTACCGCTTGTGTGTCGATTATGGAGCTGCCTCCTCTTTTGTGTACAATTCTTGTCTGCTTGTTTCCGAAGTAACTGATTGGGAAACAGCCACTTGCATTGAAATCTCCTCTTTTTTGCAAACAAGTCATGTTCCCTGGTTGAACTGATGAGGTTCCCATTAGAGGGTTCATTTCATCTAGGATACAATGCATGTCTTTGTCTGCAAAGCCTCGGATTGTGAACTTTGTCACTCTGTTTTTTTTTTTTATTTCTTCTTCCCCCCTTATTAACATGCAGTCAAAGCTGGAAGAAGCACTCAACATGGCAACAGAGTTCCAGAATTCCCTTCAGGACTTCATCAACTGGCTCACCCTGGCAGAGCAGAGTTTAAACATTGCCCCTTCGCCCAGCCTTATCCTCAACACGGTGCTGTCCCAGATAGACGAACACAAGGTAACCTTGATATTCAGGAGCTTTGGAAACTTCTAAAAGCCTAAACTGTGCTCAGGTCATTCTTGGACATAAGATGCTAGGAGACATTTCCAAGTTATTTTCCCCCCCTTGAAATG